CAAAATCAAGCTGTTTTCCTATTCTTGACATATGCAACCGACGCGTAATGAAGTGAAATACATTGAATGCAACAATAAGATATTCAATCGGAAAAATGTAAACTGCTATTTTTTTCGAACGGTAACCGACAAGTAGGGTCAACGCCTATGGAGATTTAACATTAGCATCGACCCCCACTTGTAATTTCAAAACAAGATAAATCCATAAAGGTGAGGGTATAGGAAGCTTAAGTCAGGAACCGTTAGTTTCATAATTCATTTGATGATAAATGGAACCTCATTGACTTACACCTGTGTGGGTGTTAAAGGTGCGGTAACACAATTCCTCCTAGAGGTGGGGTCAACATTTGGCCCCCACTTTAATTTCTTTTATTCTTTTGCCATATGTAGATACATAAAAATGATCAATAACTGCATAAATGATTATTCATAATTGCTACTGATAACCGTAGTAGACCTCCTTGCATAACACCAGGTTTAGTGACGGGGGCTACCTAACAAAATGACAGATACATGTCACAGGCGAATGCTATTTTGAAAATGAATTATGAAAGTGTACAGTGTATAAAAAGACTGTTATTTTGATACTAAATATGACATATTGGTATACTTGAAGTAAGCGTAGTGATACTTTTAATAAGAAAAACATGCAAAAGTTTCACAAAATTTAAGATATAACCAACATTGTCAACTTGCCTATGTATAGTTACAATGGTAGTCTATATTTTACACTTCTTAAAAAACTACCCATATATGTATTCTGTCTACAGAATATTTTTTATATAATATCAAAACCGGTTAACTTCATTTTTTAGCATGCCAAACATGATCAATGCCCAATTTTACATAATCTTCAAGATTTGATTATCATTGTTTATTATGGTAAATACCGATACATTTTCTGTTTTTGTATCATACCAAACCACTTATTATTTTACGTATGTTTTAAATTTATGCGCAGCAGTAATAACTGATGAATATGTATTCTGCCAAAGTAATCTTTCCCCTGGAGAACTACTTAAGGTTGAGATTGTGTTATAGACAAAGATATGCAATTATATAAAAACAATAAAATAATCATAATATTAAAACTGTTATACACTTTATTATACTTCCCGCAAAGAAGTTAGGGAGGGAGGATATTGGAATCAGCTTGTCCGTCCACCTGACCGTCCGTAGAAAACGTTTGTCCGGACAACTCCTTCTAAAGTAGTGGACCAATTTCAACGAAAGCTTACAGATATGATAACTAGCACCTGCAGTTGTGCATCCAGGCATTATATTTTCATTCTGGCCTTTTTCTTACATAGTGATGGCCCTTTGATGAAAAATCCTTGTCCGGATATTTCCTCCAAAACTAAGGGGTGAATTTCAACGAAAGTGTTCAGATATGGTAACTACCACCTGATGGTGTGCATCCGGGTATTATTTTGTTCAATCTGACCCTTTTAATGAGTAATGGCCCCTTGTTGAAAAATACTTGTCCAGTCAACTCCTTCAAAACTATAGGGCGAATTTCAATGAATGTTTACAGATATGGAAATTACCCCCCTCATGTCGTGCATCAGGGTACGTGCATCAGGGGAGTATTTTTTTTCATTTAGACCCTTTTTAAGGAGTTATGACCCTTTGTTAAAAACCTTTGACTTGACAACTCTTCATTAACTACTAGGACGATTCAGCAAAACTGGCTAATCTGGGCTAACAAGATTTGGTATGGAAGTATGTTTTGGCATAGAGAGGGATACAGGAAGTATGTCAGTGACATATATTTTTTTTTTAATAATTACTGGTGGGAGACTATGGATTACTTTGCAATGCTTTGCCTTAGTTAGCATTAAGCTTACAGTTCTGGTGTATATAGGAGCTGGGATATTAGTTAGTCCTTGGCTTACAGTTCTAGTTATTATTCTTTCTTAGTTTTTGCTTATTGCCATTCATTAAACAAAATATGAAGGAATATTACATTAATTTATATAGTTAACTCCTAACAAATAAAGCAACGAAAGATATCCTTGCCCGACTCCTTATACAAAAATATTTTTAGCACATTTGATTTTCATGACCTTGAACGAAGCTCAAGGTCATCACCGTACAAAACTTAAATCCATTCACATGAACAACCTACTTGCCAAATATCAAGATCATATGACCTCTGGTCATGAAGAAACACAAGTTAAAGAACAAGAGTACCGCGGGGCGGAACAAAATACGCGCGTCGAATGCCATATAGTGTTATATTCTTTCTTACATTGAAATAAGATATGCATCATTCTAAGAGTGGTTAGCTGATATGCTATAAACAAGAGGCCAAATGGGCCTGCATCGCTCACCTGGTATTAATCTCACACTTGTAATCTTAAAAGTGGACTAAAATAGAGCTACAGGCAGAATATCAGTGTTTGATTCATAATAACCTATTAAAAGATTTCAACACATGACACCTGTGACCTTGAATGTCGAACAAGGACATTAGGTTGAACAGAGTTTATAGTCTTCCAACCCAGCATGCTTCTGGCAAAATATCATTATCCTAGACCTTTTGGTGATACAGAACAAATCATTTCAAGATTTAAAGATAAATTGACCACTGTGACCTTGAATATGGGTGAAGGTCATTCACTTGGTAGTCCTTCATCCCAGCATGTTAATGGCCAAATCCCATCACTCTTGGCCTTTTGCTTATTAAGAAGAAGTAATTGAATGGTTTTAAACATATTTGACCCCTGTGACCTCGAATATATATGTCAAGGTCATTCATTTGAACAAACTTGGTAGCCCTTCATCCCAGTATGTTACTGGCCAATGGCCAAATATCATCACCCAAGGTCTCTCGGTTATTCAGAAGAAGCTGTTTAAAGGTTTTAAACATATTTGACCCCTGTGACCTTGAATATAGGGCAAGGTCATTTATTTGAACAATTTTGGTAGCCCTTCATACCAGCATTTTACTGGCCAAATATCATCATCCTAGGCCTCTTGGTTATTCAGAAGAAGTTGGTTAAAGATTTTGACATATTTGACCCCTGTGACCTTGAAAATTGATGAAGGTCATTTATTTGAACAAACTTGGTAGCATGCATCTGGCCAAATATCATCACCCTAGGCCTTTTAGTTACTGAGAAGAAGTTGTTTAAAGTAAAAAGGTTGACGCCGGACGGACGGACGACGGACGCCGCACCATGTCATAAGCTCACTTGGCCCTTCGGGCCAAGTGAGCTAAAAATGTAGGAGAAAATCTTCGGACAAAAAATCAAATACTTTAAAAATGAACAAAAGGCAATAAATTTTGCAAAAATCGTCGAATCAAAATTGTTTTAAGGGAGACACAACTTCATATCATGATGATCCGTTGAAAAATGTAGGAGATTGCAGGACAAAATCAAATACTGAAATGAACAAAGGGCAATAACTTTTAGAGAAATTGTCGAATCAAAATTCTTTTAAGGGAGACACAACTTCATATCATGATTATAATGTATACCAAGTTTCAAAGAGATCGGTCGAAAAATGTAGGAGGGGATCTCCGGACAAAATTCAAATACTGAAATGAACAAACGGCAATAACTTTTAAAAAAAATGGTCGAATCAAAATTCTTTTAAGGGAGAAACAACTTCATATCATGATTATAATGTATACTAAGTTTCAAATAGTACTACGGGGGGGGGGGTTCCAAATTTCCTGGAGGGGGTTTCCATGTGGGGGGAAAATGAGGAAAATGGTGAAAATACATGATTTTTAAAGAAAATTCTCAGGGTGGGGGGGTTTCCTGAAGCCCAAAAAGCCCCTCTGGATCCGCCACTGAGTGTTATATGACAAATTTACCGGTTGTCAATTTTTTTTTCCTGATGTTGAAAGATTTTATTGGTAGTCATCTTTTATTCCTTTCATCCCTATAAAACTTTAGTAAACTCTACCATGCATTGATCTGGATGAGTCCATTGTGGTCTGCAGTGGTGAAAGGGTTAATCAAGTATGAACAATAGACTAGTTTTAGAACTATTTAAATCAACGTGTCAAAAATGGAAATTTTCTCGTTAGGAATAAATTTCACATACTTTTCTACTTTAATCTTCAATAAAAAGAACAATTTTTCCTTGAAATAATGTAATATTCGGTATCAAAATAACAGTATCAATATGTTGCACACGATGATGATATACTTTTAAGGTAATGGTGTCATTTAAATGCTCTAGGAGGAATTGTATTACCACACCTTTAACACCCACACAGTTGTAAGTCAATGAGGTTCCATTTATCATCAAATGAATTATGAAACTAACAGTTCCTGACTTAAGATTCCTATACCCATACCTTTATGGATTTATCTTGTTTTGAAATTACAAGTGGGGGCCGACACTAATGTTAAATCTCCATAGGCATTGACCCTACTTTTTACACAACTTCTACCGATAGTTAATAATTGTCTCGGTAAGGTAAAGTTGGTACGTCTACAGATAATTTCAGGTTTTTGCTTGAGATTTTTTTCTTATTGAGACATATTTGGTTATGTAGAATTTATGAGTGATCAAACTGATGATTTTTTTTTACAGACGATTGAAGAATATTGCATCATAGCGTAAACTTACTTTAAGCGTTCAGGCCATATAAAAAAGTAACAACAAAATTTCATAAGAATCTTTAATATTGTTGCAACAATAATATACAGTTTCAAACTTACATTCCATCTAATTTTCATGGGAAGAGTCACACATACCAGGTATATACGCACATAGAAATACCATCTAACAACGGATTTACTTACTCAAGATCTACCCATACAATAGAATTAACATACTACTACTATCCTCTCATTCTCTCTACGATTGAAATTTTCTTTATAATAAAATTGTCTTCAAATTTTACAAGCAATTTTTCATGTACCACTTTAGAATCCATATTGCATAATGAAACAACATTTTCCCCTTCACCACACATAATTTACTTGAGGTTTTCTTTCTAATGAAATCAACATAAAATCTTGTGACAGTTTTTCATGTATCACTTTCAAATCTTCAATTTTGCAAAGAAACAACATTTTTCCTTTATTCTCTCCAAATACTTCAAAGTCTTTTTTCTAATGAAATCAACTGATATTTGTCAAGTGTCACTCTCAAATTCACACTAGTACACAACCACATACATGTATCACGTACTGAACATTTCTTTTAAATAATGTTTACTTCACATCTCATAATCGCAAGAAATAAGTTAGATATAAAAATAATCACAGCTGAAGAGCACATAGTTTTCAAATTCACATGTTCAATCATTATAGAATCACAGATCATTACCTACATGTACCGGATGTAATTGTATAATTCTGATAAACAAGTATTCAACAACAATACAGACCAGAAACCAGTTGTATCAAGTCATTAGCTCAACAACTCATTTAAAAATTCAAACAAGAATAAAAAAAATATTCATGAAAATATCAGAATTTCCTGTTAATATCTTTCAGGAAAATCATTTTGCTCTAAGACTTCCATATTTTGTTTGAATTTTAATGCTTTTAATCACTATATTTTATAAAATATTATCACAAATTCTCTTTCACTAACTTATCCATCAAAACTAATATTCATGAAAGAAATATCATCAGTTAGCTATCGTCTGTAAGATACCATCTACAAATAGTTTAAAGCAGAAGGTAAATTTGAAATAGATCTTCTCACAAATTGTTAAAGAATATGATACATTGAAACTTGTCCAATCAGACATTGTGTGGGATCCAACAAATTGCTTGGAAGACAGCGTGTCAGAATACAAAGGTTGATAAGAGCTGTATGTTGATTATGGCAGGATGATCAAAAGAAGGGTTTGTAGGTTAAGCAGGTTTCACCACAGGTATATATTAGGCTCGTCTGTCAATACACCTATGTTTATATTATAGGTGTACATTGAGAGACGAGGCTAGTATCTGCGGTTTCAATGTATCTTGCAAAATATGCATTGAATAAGTTATTTCAGTATTTAAGAAAAAACCCAGCTAAAAGATAAAATAGATAAACCAAAATGTGTCACCCAGCTAATGAGATTTGCTACACTCCTGCGTCTCAACAAAATCTTATAAATCACAGTTTGCAGGATCCAAATCTGAAAGCATTAATCTTAAGTCAAGTCTCAAAGGTCATGTTTTTTTGTCCATGCTGTATTAGGACAGGAGTGGCTTGTAGGCTACATGAATGACCTTCTTGGTGAACTCTGACATAGCTGTGACCAGAAAGAACATCTCGTTTTCATGTGTGTCGTCTGTAATGAAAAGATCAAGCTTATCAAATATTGATGGACAAAGTAAAAACAAAGTAAAGGATATAAACAACAACAAAATACCAGGTAATGGAAATTGAAAGCTTTTGTTTTTCTTCAATTTAAAAAAATACAATACACAAATAATTAACATTTAAAAAGTTTTGAAATTTCAAAAACAAAGTCAAAACAGAAATTTATTATAAAAGAGGAATGTAAAAATAATTAATTTTCGGAAATGAAAATAATGAATTGGCTGCCTTTAAAGCATGAAAATGTGCAATTTATGGAAGTTAAAAGTACCTGGATCTGAGAACTCATGAGTATCCAAGATGAGTTCTTTGAACATTTCCACGACATTATTGAAGTAGCTCTGTCTGTCTTTTGGGTTTTCTAATGTGTCCACAATAATCTGCACTACGGTCATCGCATAAGACAGACTGAAACTGCTCTTCACACACACCTGGAAATTGTATATTAATACGCCATTTAAATCCTAATAACCATAGCTGTTAATAATAAATTCATATTTGCTTGAATTTTATGAATTTATCTTTCATTTCTCGAACAAATCCACATTTCTTCCACTTCGACCGGAAAAATGATGACTAAAACTCAACATATCTATACAATTAGTATTTATAATTAAATATTAAATATTTATACAAAGACTCCTTTACTGACCAGTAACCTGGAAGTAACTTACCACACAGAATGAGGTAGTGATGCTGGCCAGCTCCCGAATCCTTCCATTGATAGCTTTACTGACCAGTAACCTGGAGGTGATGTTGTCTCCACACAAGATCAGCAGATGAGCAATATTCTCTGCAAGCCACTCGTCTGGGAGACCTTATTTACAAAATTAAAATTTATGATGAATTTGAGTATTCATTTGAGCTAGATGTGACATTATTACAAGCATATTAGTATATTTCAGTATTTCTTTCTGTAATATTGGTAAATATGTTGAAAACAACTGCAAGCTCGATGGTTTTATAACCTCATCAATGGCCCACTTGTCCAGTACGTATAACGTTTTGTATGGTCATCAAATGTGCCAAAAACTCATAGTCATATTTAAGCAAACTATTTCAGATTCGATCTAGACTGAGATACAAAAACGGTTACAACCAAGTTATCTGAGCATAAATTTAATTCAAATATGTATTTTGTAATGGGAAAGCTCTGAATCTCGTACCCATGTTCATTAGCTATTAAACTGATACTGGTTATTTAGGATTTCAGTTTAGCTTTATTACTTGATTTTCTTACTTGTAAGTTCATCAAGGACACTGATGATGTCATCCTCTGACCACTCCTGTGGGTAACAGTGGAGTACCTGTAGGGCATTGGCCAGTTCATTGAAATGTGCTGCAGACTGCTCCGAGTTGTATGGTGAACTCTCACAAACATCATACCACAACACTTCTCCTGAAATTAGTGTCAGCCGGAACAAAATTCAGGACAATTTGACAATATTAAGGTCCATCAACACAATAAGGTCATACAAGGTCAAATACCAGCAGAAACATGGTATATATGGTAAAGAGTACCAAGAAATTGACACAATTGAGGCACAAAATTGTAGGAAAATGGCAGAAATAAAGAAAATAATAACTCATTGGTGTTGCAGCATATCATTTTAATTTTGGTTTGTTTGATGCCCCCTTTAGCAGAAGACAAAGAAAATCCAAGAGTCTTGCGTTTGACAAAATTAGAGTTCATAATCACTTTTCACTGGCACGACAGCCCATAGTATCCTAGAGAATTATGTCATAAGACTTAAAAATTTGTATTTTTTTTATGAATATCATTTTTGATTTTTCAAAATTTAACCCTTTCATTGTATGTCCGAAAACTTTACCCTGTTACATAAGAAATTAGATCATTGACAGAGATGCATGTGCAATGTCTGAAGGTCATGCAGTCTCATCAGCAAACTGTAACACGACTGACATGGACAAAATATTGCTGTTAATTAGTATAGGATTTGATTCAAATGAAACCCATATATATCCATTTTCAATTTTCATTATCAACAATATGCTCTTACTACTCATCATCATCATCATCATCATCATACCATTATCGCCTTCAAGTTGGCATTTTGTCTTCCAACACAGGTTTTTTTTTCTACAAGAACCTGCTTTATTTATAACGAGATTTTGTTTCGTTTCCAACACCCAGCCTTCTGGGGGCGAGTTTAACTGGGTGCAGGGAAAGGAATGGTCATATAAAATGCCCATTCCAAGTAAGATGAAAAAGTGCATGACCGATAAAAACTCTTATTAAAGACCTTGAATTGTATCTCAAGGTAACTGCCATGTTTTTTAATTGCCTTTCCCCTGTAACATCATTTTATGTATATCAGCACAATTTTACAGTGCATTCTACACCAAATTATACAGTCAATGTTGACAGTTTGTATTTTTTATGAATATCAGTTCTTTGAACCTGTTTCTTTTCAAAATTTGAACTTTCTCATAGAATGCCTGAAAACTTAACATCTAATTTGATAATCAACAGAGAATAATGTATATATATTTAATATAATGTTTGAATGCCTGTAATAATCTGCTCATTTTTGCTTCAAAAAAAGAAAGATTTTAATGAGGAGCAAGCAGGCAAAGGAACAGCAGCCATGTATAATGTCAATTCAGACAATAACTCCATGTCTAAAACGAAAGCTTTTTTCAATTATGAATGAATATAGTCTACATCTTAAAAAACATCTATTGAAAACTCTGAATTGTATCCCAATTCTAAAATAACCTTTCCCTTGTAACATGATTTAATAATTGATAAACATGAACACAATTTTACAGAGTATTCCACACCAAATATTACAGTCAAAGGTCAATGTTGACATTATTGTTTCACAACTATCCTCGAAAATTGCATTATACAGTGTCAGTATTTCAACTCTCACCTTCGACAGCAGGGCCATAGAGAACATACAGAAGTCTAGCCTGGTGTACCATTGGCCACTGCTTTAGAATCCGACTAAGCCAAAAGGCTCGATCTTGAACTGTGTGACAGTGGTCTACAAACACACGCCTGAAGAAGGCTCTGATCTGAAACTCCATCTGGGTATGTTTTCCTGGTTAGAAATGAAAGAAATTTATATGACTGAAAAAAGTTAGTTCAGGTCAGGTGCCTTTCTTTTCATAAACACATGATCAGACTATTTTTCAATTGTTTCATGAAATTGTCTATTTCTAAAGAAAATGTTTTGATCATCCTTAAACCTTGATTAAATTATGCATGTATTTTCATTTCTTCAAGCTAGATAATGGAAAGAATAATTATTTTCAAATCACTATCAGTTGAAGAGATAATTATATTAAATAATTAATGTACTGAAACATTTTAATATGCAGTTAAAAAAAATTGGAAACAAAACTTCCAAGTTTTTCATAATACAAAACATTTTTAATACAAACCTGGTTTTGAATTGACAATAATCTTAACATTTTTCAAAATTGCTGTATGGTGACACACTGCATCAAAGACCCTCAGACACTCAGAATCATCCCATCCTGCTATCACAGTATGGAGGAACTTTCCAAAGCAGTTCAGTGCAATACATCCAGCTAAGTTTTCACATTTGTCAGAATTTGAACACATAATCTGTTGACAAATGAAAGAATATTAGCTCGATCCATTTCATTGAATGAAAATCTGAAACAAATTCTTCTTTCTATTCTAATTGTAATATGTACAATCAAAGAAATTTGTTTTTGTAATTATTATTATAACTCTGTTAAGAATAAGTGAAAATTCCACTTTTACAATTAAGACTGTTCTTTTTCAATATATCCAGTTTAAGTTGCATCTGGCAATACACTTTGTCTTTCCCAGATTTTTTAATTGTGGAAACATAGTAGTAAAATAGTACAAAAAAGTTCACTATACATTGCCTTACTTTAGTAAGAACTTCAGTCACAAATTTCAGGCGATCTCTTGTAGAATATAAACATGTTGACCGTTTCATAAGAAGCCCTACAAAATTAAAGTACACATTTGCAAACAGGAAATATTGTTCAAACATTGATAAGATAATGTTTCAAATATATATTCACATCAAACTCAAAGTGATACAGAGCAAGATAAATGTTGTCTGATATGAATATGTTTGTCTTAAATAATCTAGACACTCAATAGACACTATAAATTCACAAGTAAGATTTTGTGCTTTCTCAAATAACTTTGAAATTCTTTTTCATTCTCTGCATTTGTTACACCCAATATTTATTCAGCTTGAAGTTGTCTTGTGTATGTACTAAAAGATACTATGAAACAACTGTTATGGCTTCACTTGTTAAAGTTTTAAATACCCATTTGCTGGAATGTCCTGATGACATCAGACTGTTTCTTAACAGGAACTGGTAGACATGCACTCTGTGTATGAATTTTTGCTAATATCTCCTGCATAGCTGGTGTAAGTACTCGGTAGCCTTCGATCAAATTTCTCATTGACTTTGATGTAATGGTTAGCACACTTAATTCTTCAACTGAAAAAATAAAATAAAATAAGGGATGACCATTTAGCTTAGAATTTAACGAAAAACAGTAAAAGGTATATAAAAATACTTTCAAAATCGTTTCTTAGAATTGTTTTATTTTCGTGTAAAAGATTTCTTGAACATTGATTTGCACAATTTTCCCAAATTTACTACCATCACCAAGTTGTCCAACAGAAAGTTTTCAAAGTTTCTCAAATTCAAACATAAAAACAATACCTGCAATACCATTTTGTTGTAGATTACCATTGTAGAATGCTGACAATGTATACCTATTTCAGTCAAGTTTGTGTGTTCTTGGAACAACATGTGAAAACTATTTTCATTTTCAGTTGTGTACATTGTAAACAGCAAAGAAACATCAACTCAATACTATATAGCTTTCATTTCATTGCTGTTTAGAGCAAAACTAATGTTTTCTTTGTTGAGGCAACCCCTCGGGGAAAACCACAGTGTAATTCTAAGGATACCGTTAACAACTAAACCTATCATACATCACTATCCTTTTCCACCATCACTTGGAATTGAATACAAATTCTTTGGAAGTATGTGGTATATAATGCTCATGCTTGATTGGGCAAAGAAGTATTGACCATTCAAATACATATACTGGTCAGTCACAATTTTTTTTTCCTACGAGTTTTTGTATAGATCTATGTATGTACAGTTTATTTGATTAATAAAATATGTTCCTGAAGATACCCTTAAGAAATAAACCAGGGACTAGAAACCCTCTGTAAGACATAACTGTCAATGGGCTCTTAACACATTTACAACAAAGAAACAGTCCCCCTGGTCCTGTGGTTGACCTTTAGATCTGAAATATGATGTATTCTCATACTTAACCTTTTAATAATACAATGAATTAATATTGCAAATTGCAACGAGACAGGACAGTACAGGTCTGACACATGTTGTTTATAGCTAGCACAGTAATTAATATGTTGTTTCCAAAATACTTTTTCTCCACAGATTTTATAGAGTTAAAGAAAAAAATGTCATGTGATAGCATGTGTACTTCTTGAATACACTTAAAATCTGAGAGTTGCACAAAACAATATGCAAAAAGACTTGGTATGCAGTTCCAGACAACATGTCTAACTAATATTCTGGAAATTGTATCTTGGAAGCAAAATATATCATATGCCCCCCTCCCCCACATAAATGGCAATGGCAAAAAATAACAACTATAGTAGTCATATAAAACAACAGAAACTATTTTCATATCGACTCCCAAATGAACAACTCTAGAATTTTGATTCCAGATCTATATGTATATGTAACTATATTTTACCATTTAGAAAGTGAAGAACATGAAATTTCAATTCTATTGGTAGCATGTCAAAGTATCCTAAAGGGTTTTGCCGTAATTCTTTGGATTTGGTCTCTGCTTTTTCTTTTCCTTCCAATCTGCCGGATCGCCTTGGTTTCTTACACTGCATGAAAGCTTTTATGTCCATCTAAATTATCAAAGACAAATGCATTGTGAAACACGATTTAAAATTCTCATTTTAAAATGCATAAAAATCTTTCATACATGTTTCGATATACTGAGTAATTCAGTATCTGAACAACCACATGTCATTATGCATCTACATCCATCATAAGCAGGCCAACTTCTTTCATGGCTTTACGACCGTCTGGAGCTCTAATTTTAAAATTGAAAGAATTGAAATATTCAAACTTTGGAAGTGGTCAAAATAGTACGTACAATTTTTGAAATGTGTAATTAAACCACTTCTTCACAGTATAACAGTGAAATAGATTAGCACTTTACCTTTTGTTAAATTGTTAATTTTCTTTTGCTGAGTTGTCGTCTGCTTCAGCATTCAATGCAGTTCTCGACCAACGTCTGCTGTCTGTCGTTGTGATGGTATATCGAACGATCCCTTGGGTATTGCAGCGTTCTTCCAATCGCTGAAAGAGTTCTTCGAACTATTTCGGAAAAATTATCAAAATATACCAAAGCATGTATATATGTAGTTATTGTAGTAATTAGGGAGGCTATACTAACGTCAACAAAACAATTCTAATTTAGCGCGTGCTGTCACTTTCAACACATGATTGTTTTTTATCTCCTAATTAAAGAGTTCTTCTAAAAATAAGCGATAATGTATAAACTTATTTAAAATCTAAAAGAACTGCATGCTGTGAAACATCACAAGTATCTATAAAATAGTAATCAATAATGAATACTTTTGCGTAAGAATTTATCAATTTTATTTGTTTTCTTTACAACTAATGATGATAGTTAACATAGTTTTATTATCGACTTTATAGCGCTCAGCATAGATGTAAACAAATATGGCGGCAACCAGTTTCCAGAGGAAGACACGTGCTAAAAATTTGCAAATTGCTGGGTCTAAGCCTTCATTATACAATAACCAACTCTTGATTTCTAGTGGTATTCCATCCCTTGATAGCATACTAGGTAAATTATGTAATTATATGTTTGGCACTTGAAGGTGCATTGCTCAAACAGAATGTTAGTCCGAAATATCTCAATAAGTTATCTCGTTTTATTTTTTGATCGGGCGGAGGTATCAAAGAGAAAATGGTTCATGTGGTCGACGTCTTCGTAAGCATAATGCCTTGCTCCTGTTGACGCACAGGGTCACGTTACAATCACACATATGCTATACTGATATGGGTCACAACACATGAACATACTATATGTGTGTTGTGACCCATGCATATCAGTATAGCATATATGTGTGATTGTAACGTGACCCTATGGTTGACGTTTCTTCATAGTCATTCCCTTATTTACAGGTTGCGCAGAGGACGCGTATACAACTTAATATCTCAGCACGATGGTAAAAACTTGAATGGATGTTTGACCCAATGCTTATTGAGCCCAGATTTAAAAAAAAAATAAGGTTGGGTAATCTATCACAATTGTAGGGAGTTGATTCAAAATATTTACAATTCTATTTTTAAAGCATGTACTCAAATGTTGGTCTTATATCGATTTTTTTCATTTTTTGTTTAGTTTCCCCTCCAATTTAGGTTTTCGAAGGCAGTGATGATTTGTTGGTTGGTTATATCTATGGTGTTTATTAGCTTATAGATTTCTACCATATCAGATCTTAGTCTTCTATATTCAAGTGATGGTAGTCCTAGCCGACAAATAGTTCAGGTTATGAGAGATCTTTTAGGGATGGAACAAGTTTGGTTGCCTAGGCCTTCTTTGAACATTTCTAGGGAGATTTTTTTTCAGTATATAGTGACCACGTAGTAACATTAATTTCAAGGTATGGACGTACCAAAGATTTGTAAAGGTTGAGAAAAATTTCTTAATTGATTCAACTGAAAAATTTGTAATGAGACCTAGGTTACTGCAGTGTTTACTTGCTCACTAAATTTTAGGTTTTTATCAATAACTACTCCCGAGTTCTCGTTCACTTGCCACCAGGTCTATTTGATGTCTCTTCCCTTGCTGGGTGATCATATATCTGACGTTGTTCTTCTCTTGGCCTGTATATATTTTGAGGTGTTTACATTTGTTTGAATTAATTAAGTTCCATCAGCCATTTGTCTGTCCATTCACATACCTTTAGCTTGTTGACGTCGTTCTGGAGTGACGATCCATCCTCATTATATTTTGTTGGTTTATAGAGTTTGGCGTTGTCTGCAAACATTTTGATTTTATTGACGAGTGACTCAGGTAGGTCGTTGATGTAGATAAGAAACAGTGCTGGTCCGAGGACGCTCTCCTGTGGAACTCCACTGGTGACCAACTTGGATGATGAGTACTGGCCATATACAACTACTTCCTGTTTCATATCTTTAATGAATTCATGTATCCTTAAGGGTTTCTAGTAATTGTGTTGTACAGGATCAACCACTTCTAAACCCATGCTGATAAAATGAAAAGTTTCCAGATTTACATTTTTTCTCTGTTTATAATATCCAGATCAAAATTGCAATTACAAACAGCTATCTGGGTTTGCAATTAACTGGTCGGGTACAACGGCGCATATTGGTAATACTCCTGCATTTGGGTAACAGTTACCCATTTGAGTACCAATTTTATTACTGATACATCAAGCTCTATTACCCATTATGAACAAAAAAGTTGTCAATCTTTCACCGTAATCCGATGAAAAATACAAAGTTCACAAAATTATGATAGTTGTCTCTGTCTAAATCTTGGTGAAAATGACAAATTGTATCACATTGGCTTGAAAATTTGTTACAATTATATTTGAACCTAAACGAAGGTGGTCAGAGTAATTTTTTCATTTTTTAAGGGTGAGATCTACTTTCGGTAAAAATGATACCCCTAATGATCATATATACGAGAAGGCAGAAAGCCATCAATGTTGAAAAGTCGACCCAACATAACTTTCTTGCATCAAAAACAACATTTAGAGTTGATCTACGGGAAAATGCTTAGTTCTGTTGGAAAGATGGATATTTTTTCTTTTAAAACCCTCCTATATGCACGTAGAATGTATTCTCCTTCCTCGGACATGATCTCCGTTTCCTCCAAAAACACACGCGATTTCAGAGTTTCAAAGGTTTTCGTGGCACTTTTAAAATAATATAAATGAGGTTGAGGTCAGCACATGCCGAGACCCGTGGTGTGATTGGCAGGAAGCGCAGCCATTGTTTTACTTATATATTAATTTCTATTTCAGGTGGAGGATTAGCTGTTGGATCTGTTTTGCTTGTTGGTAAGAATGCAATTTGTTGTGTTACTGTCCTTTGTATCGTAATGAAAAATATGTCTATAGACACATCTACGATGATTCATTGTACATGTATAGAAAAGAAGGTGACCAAAATAGGATCCTTCAGTTGAACTCTTGTTCAGTGTACCTAATGTACGTACCATACATGTAGATAAAAAAGTGTGAAGGATTTAATTTGAATCAAAATGTGTCCTAAATTGTTTTAATAGTTAAAATAAAGACATTTTATGAAGGTAATCAGGCTTTATATAAATTACAATTTTCAAATTGGCTTTTATCAATTAAATGTATGTCAATCTGATCAATGGGCCTTTTCCAACTATGAATAATTGAGCAATTTAATATTGATTATTTGCACAACACAAAATGTCATTATAATTGAAGATTTTAACATTTAATATATAGTTCTATATGGGAGAAAATTATAATTTGATGGAAAATATATATATGAATAAATGCTGGAGTTACATTTTTTTTCATAAGACTATGTATATATATTATCAGGACTCCAGTACTTAGGAGTATTATAATGTACAACAGAGGTGTACCTACGTGTATATTTACTACATCATAGTGTAAAAATAATTTTAATCCAATCATTTATCTTGTATTAAAAAATCAAAATAATTCATTTCAGAGGAGGATAATTTTGGAAACTATGGTCGGCTGTTGTTGAAGTATTTCTGTGCTGAGGCAGTGATGACCGGTCACTCTCTACTGCTATCAAGTGCTGACCAGTCTCCGGACCAAATCATCAAGGTGACACCTCTTTGTCCACTTGTCACAAGGTTACTTGCTAACCTACATGTTATACCTGTGATTTGTATGAGTTATCTCCCTTGAAAAATTACAAATTCAAAATTTAGTTAATAAATATAGCTGTTAGTGTTATACAAATCAATTAATCAAGTGATGAGTGATATTCTCTCAAATATCCGTGTGTGTTTTTCAAAAATTAAAAACAAAATGTTTTCATAATACAAAGCATATTTAACTCTCTATGATAGTTCATTTATTTTTTCCAAGTTAATGAAATAGAAACCTGTACTACCAGACACCGTAATCCTGTGTTTAAAGATCACATTTATCTCTTAAAGGGCCATTTATAATCTGTATTCTTTATAATATTTCAGAATTTAACAAAGGACAAAATCTCTAATTCAGGTTTCATTTATCAGTAACATACAGGATGACAATGTGTGTTATGATTTTCATGGTTATATTATACTACTACAGGAGTTACCTGCCCCTATCATTGATGACCCAGGGTCAGTGGTGACCAGGCCTGAGGAGGAGGGGTCAGAGAAGATGTCAATAGCTTGGCGATATCAACACCTACCTAAGTTCCAGGTAAAAGCCAGAGAAAATGTGCCTAGGAACTGTTTAGTTGACAGCATAGCATGCAACTTTTACTTGGTGTTCTTTTTTGTGATCATCATGCATATTAATGGTTGCAGTAATACTGCATATACATAGTACATGTTGATTTAAATGTTATTACTGTATCAATCTAATTAAAATTATATCTTCACATCGCTCCCGTTTACTGATACGTTGCTTCAACGCGACATATCAGTAAACGGGAGCGATGTGAAGATATAATTTTGATTAGATTGTTACTGTATTTGACCGCAAATAAGACCCCACTTGCCCGTAAGCCCCTTCCCCATTTTTGTAAATGTCGTGAGAGCAGAGTGGCTGGCAGCAATTAAGCCTCCTCCCTAATTTTATCTCACAAAAATATGTTGTCAATTTTTGACAGACGCACGTTCTAACATGCCAGCAAAACTGCAGAAGTTTTCATCTCTGAACAATTGTTGATAAATATAAATCCAGTGAAGAAAGAGCACGAACTTTCTCATCATGATATTATATACACATGTAAATGTCTCATATTTTATCCTATATATCAAGATTGATTATAAACAAAGAATAAATAACTAAGTATAAGGCTAATTTATTGGTTCTCCATCAGACATCTAAGAAGTCTGGTGATTGGACCCGAGAAAACTTGGGCTAATAGTTGATCTGAATCAAAATGGCATAATTTTCTTTTTCTTAGTCATTCTATCAAAGGGTTTGTTTTCCTTCTCTTCATTCATATAATAGAATGTATGTTTGTGATTCAGGTTTTATATATTCCAACTACTTAAGACTTGGAAAAGTTGTTATGATTGACAACTGCAGACCACCCCTTTATTGCCTTTATAAGACTTTAATCAATACAGCAACTAGCCTGACATTACAGTGATACAGTTATCTTTCAGTATAGAAGGTAAACTAATGAAGGCTTTAATCAATACAGCAACTAGCCTGATATTACATAAATACAGTTATCTTTCAGTATAGAAGGTATACTGATTAAGGCTTTAATCAATACAGCAACTAGCCTGAAATTACAGTAATACAGTTATCTTTCAGTATAGAAGGTAAACTAATGAAGGCTTTAATCAATACAGCAACTAGCCTGATATTACAGTAATACAGTTATCTTTCAGTATAGAAGGTATACTAATTAAGGCTTTAATCAATACAGCAACTAGCCTGACATTACAGTAATACAGTTATCTTTCAGTATAGAAGGTAAACTAATTAAGGCTTTAATCAATACAGCAACTAGCCTGATATTACATAAATACAGTTATCTTTCAGTATAGAAGGAATACTAATTAAGGCTTTAATCAATACAGCAACTAGCCTGACATTACAGTAATACGGTTATCTTTCAGTATAGAAGGTAAACTAATTGAGGCTTTAATCAATACAGCAACTAGCCTGACATTACAGTAATACAGTTATCCTTCAGTATAGAAGGTAAACTAATTAAGGCTTTAATCAATACAGCAACTAGCCTGAAATTACAGAAATACAGTTATCTTTCAGTATAGAAGGTATACTAATTAAGGCTTTAATCAATACAGCAACTAGCCTGACATTACAGTAATATAGTTATCTTTCAGTATAGAAGGTAAACTAATTAAGGCTTTAATCAATACAGCAACTCGCCTGACATTACAGTAATACAGTTATCTTTCATTATAGAAGGTATACTAATTAAGGCTTGAATCAATACAGCAACTAGCCTGACATTACAGTAATACAGTTATCTTTCAGTATAGAAGGTATACTAATTAAGGCTTTATTCAATACAGCAACTAGCCTGACATTACATAAATACAGTTATCTTTCATTATAGAAGGTATACTCATTAAGGCTAGGAGAAAATAGTGACAATGTTAATGTTTAGGGAAGACTTACAAAGAGAATGTTGATGTTCCATCTTTTATTTTGGTATTGAGTAACTAAATCCTCACAATAGTGAGTTCTGTAGTATTGAAATACAGATTTACACTTACAGTCCAATCCAACAACTGTTAAGTTTGGTCACTACTATGACTTGACCAAAGTAATGGATCCCGCCCTTGTCAACAGCTGTGACTGTTCCTGTGTCGGTCAGACTGACCTTCTCGACGGGTAAGTATTGTTTTAACATTAAATTACTGGGCTCCGACAATTGTATCCAAAAGGTGAGTCAACATGATTGTGTATGAAGATGAATGAAGTGTTGCTGTGGTTCTGTTGAGAGACTTGACGGGATGAAGTAGCAAATTTGGCACCTAGACATGTACTGTATACTGGGACATTTTTGCCCAGTCAAACTTTCGCCCTTCGCCCAAAAAATCAATTTTCACCCAGAGTTTATTTTGCCCTTCACATGTTGTTACTAAGTTTACTGTGCTGTTTATATCACTGTAATGATAAATGGCCTCATGAAGGACGGCAAAAAAGGAGATAATCGAACTGAAGCGAAAATTTCCTGGTATACAGTATACCTCTGTCTATCTTTTCATGGGTCACCTGCCCGAACACCTGGGTTTTCTCTGGGTACTCCAGTTTTCTCCAACATTAAGACCCATGCACGCTAAATTTGCTTCACAATCGTTGTAAAAAGTTTAAATTTTACATTTATAGGTGCAAGTTGCCTACTCAGAGCACATACCAACACACTAAGTACTTCACAAAAATACAATACAAAATCACTCTAGCCAAGCATACTAAACGTGAAAAACTACTGCTTCATTTCAAGCAGCATGATCTATAGTTTCCCTTCATTTACAAAAAAGAAATGAAGAATTGTCTGGTAATGAGACAAAATACCAAAATTAACTACATTTTTGTACAACAAACCAGAATCATTATGTAGAGTCTGAGGTAACATCTGAATTTGTATTTAGCAGGAGGCTGCTGCCATCTTGGATTTTTATGCCTGTCACCCTGGTTAAATATATACCAGCCACTTGCTTCTGACTGGGCTAGGGAGAATTTCTCTTAAGCACAATCTGTGGTGCATCATACAATCAAACCAAAGGTCCAGGGTTCAACCCCTAGCAGAGGCATTGTATTGAATATAATGACCTCCCTTACATTGCATTGCTGCCCAGGTATACTTAGGGACCTCAGACATATGGACAAAAAAATACTCAGGGATACTTACGATCCCTGTAAAACTAGGGATATGTTCTTTCCTGCAGGGGGAACATGTCAACCCGGTAAAATACAAGCCGCTTCCTACCGACTTGGCTAGGGAGAATTTCTCTTCAGCTCATTCGGTAGAGCATCATTCTTATGAACCAGCAAATCTGAGTTCGGCCCAAAGTGGAGGCATTGAAAAAACAATGATCTCTGTCACATTTGATATAATGTACATTGTAGTATCAGACCATTAGCAAATACACGGAATATCCACTTATACTCACTTTATTGACTTGTATACGTATATCTCTTTTCAGATTATTCAACTTTTTATCTTTTCAGTGATTTAAATGGTGTAATGAATCCAAAATACAGGTGCTTACTGAAGACCATAAAAGAAAAGATTGACAGGGGAGGTTTCTCCACAGCTAAAGTACAAGAGAAAAGGAATATTCTACGAATCGGTAATTATCTGACAACTGTGCTAAATGATGTCCCATTTCTACATAAAAGAGACAAATGGTAATTGTATTATGTTTCCTGGCTGTGGTTGTTTTAGTTTTTGTACCCCCGCTTCGACTTAGTCGGGGGTATATAGTATTTGCTTCGTCTGTCTGTCTGTCTGTCCGAAAGGTTTCCGGAACATATCTCCCGTACTATTTCACCTACGGTTATAAATCTTGGTTTTTGGGTACATGCATGGAAGGCGGTGTGTCGCGTACCATATGTAGGTCATTGTGACCTCTACCGTGACCTCTGACCTACATAATGTCGCCAGAAAGGTTTCCGGAGCATATCTCCCGTACTATTTCACCTACGGTTATGAATCTTGGTTTGTGGGTACCTGCATGGAAGGCATTGTGTCGCGTACCATATGTAGGTCACTGTGACCTCTACCGTTATTACGTTATCGTGTATCAAACTACCTTCAGTGCAAATACTTTCAGCATATAAACTCTTCACATGACTCTTCCAATCCACATGCCCATCACTTCCACCAATTCCTTATCAATCAAAGAAGGGGTTTTACGAAGGCCCCCCTTCGAGTTACATCTAGTTCTTCAAATAATATTTTGTCAGATCACCCATAGGAGGTATGCATAGTCAATTAGTCATACAGTGGTCATACAGTGCATTATAATTGATTCACCATGACCTTACCTCTAGGTCAAAGTTGAAATATTTGCAAAATATTCAGGGAAATCTGGTTTGACCCAATTAACTTTAAATCCATTGAAGATATTTTTATGATACTTAAAGTATACTTGCAGCACCCACAGATATATACTTAAAGTATACTTGCAGCACCCACAGAAGTTATGCTGATCACTTACTCCAACAATGTCAGGTTTTACACGGCAAGATATTTTTGACAGGCGCCGTCGCAGTCGGCAAAATCATATCCGATAGAAAAAAGGTCCACCAGCGGCCTCTTATGTTATAGGAGTAGCTGATCACTGTGACCTTCACCTCACGTTATGTCAAAGCAGTGTCTGTACAATTATATTTCAGGCTAACACTTATGTGCCCAAGATATACTGAGTTATGGCACGTTATATCCTTTTAAGACAAATGCACTAAACTTTATCCAGAATGGTGGATTTCGTCTATTAATCACTTAGTGAAAAGAGTGCATGCATTTTTGAGTAACTTTCAAAAGTATTACAACTATCAATTTAATTGATGCAGGTTTCTTAATATGGAACTCTTTTGTAAAGGCAATGCATTTCACTACAAGGTAGCACACATCCTTAAGTAGTCATCATTTCCTACTAACATATTTGACATTAATCTCTGTAGGTATTCATTCTCTTGGATCACCACAGTGGGGAGAAAATGGTGGTTTCTGTGAAAACCATGAGGATTTGGATTACTCCCTGCCTCGCTTCCTTCTAGCACTTAGATCCATCCTGAGGACAGCGTTTGGTGTGTGTATAATCACCATTCCAACACATCTGTTCAAGGTAAGTAGTGAAGTTGTAATATCCCTTGATTCCACAAAGTGCACCCCTCTTGAATGACAAAATCTTAGAAATAGTGTGAAAACTTTTATTTTACAGCTTAATTTGCAGTCTTAATGTTCATAAAATAGTTTTTTTATCAGAAGTGAAAGACGTTTTAAACTTATTATGGATATGCATTTTTACCGAAAAAGGTGATCTGTATTTACCGAAAGTTGATCTAAACCCCTAAAACCTTTAAAATTTCTCTTTACACCTTAGTTTAGGTCAAAATATAACTGTAAACACTTCTCAGGTCCCTGTGTAACTCAGCAGTACTGGAGTGAATAGTGCCACAGTGATTAAACACACTTTTTGAAAACTTTTCACAAACATTGTATTTATTAGATAAAGTCTGAACTTCAGTGCAATTGGTTGTACAGTAATTACATGCCTCATTTTGTGTCTGCAAATGAAATTTGGAGCTATCTGTATCATAGCCTGAACGAATAAAGCCTTTTTGTTCCAAATTCTGTCTTTATTAAAATTTCACGGTGATTGTTTTTTTAGAGTGCTACTTTTGTGAGCCGCCTGGAGAGATTATGTGATACAGTGGTTCATCTGGAAAGTTTCGCGGGATCTGACAAAGAAAAGAATCCAGCCTACAAGGAATATCATGGTTGGTTTTGTAGGATTTCATCATTCACGTAATACTGATATAAAGCTTATGAAATAGAAATTTGGGATTATTTTTTTTAATTTTACCACATAGAAGAAGGGCTTACTGTATGTAAGTAGCTCAGTATCTGTTTATAATTGTGTTTTAAACATGTAAAGGTTTCAAATAACAAAATAATGCATCTATTGCCTGAATGTGCTCAACTAAATATTGACTTTATATACATGTATTTGAATTCAATAGCATTTCCTATTTTAGATATGGCTTAATGCAAAAAACAAGAGTGATACAAATATAAGTTGTAATAACTTGTTTCATAATTGTTGCAATAAAAAGTTTATGCTGGGGTATTTTATATTTTAGGTAGTTTGTGACTTTTACTAGTCACTGACTTTCATATTTTATTCAAGCCAGAACAAGGCTTCAAACAATTATAACTATGGGTATACATCATGTTACATTTTGTGTTTTTGATGGTTTCATGTGGTAAGACACCTTCCTTATTTAGATTTCAAGGTGATCTTGTGTGGGAGGGGAGTTGTTTGTGAAACAAACTACATGTACATGTATCAATCGGTCTATATATAGTCAATCCTACTGAAATTCTTATTGATTGTATTAAATAATATAGCCAGTATGGAGTACTTATGTTAAGTGAGTTGTCTTTTCTGTGTAGGCCTGTTCCACATCCGACAGCTGCCCAGACTCAATTCTCTAACTAGTCACATGCCAGACACACTGGATTTTGCCTTCAAATTGAGAAGAAAAAAATTCACCATTGAGGTGCGAACAAATACGAATTTTATAACTTTTGAAAATATATGCATGTTTTTTTCATAGTCCACAAAAATTCACCATCCATATGCTTAGTTGTATTTTCTAGATATTGAAATGGTAATAAGTAGACAAGAAATTTAGAAAATTTGCACGATATTGTGTCTACTTGCTCATTAAGTCACAACAATTATTTCAAAAAGAAATATTTTGCCTGTTTATACATCTTTTATCAAATGTTTTGAAACATAGTGATTTTTTTTTTTAAATATCTTAAAAAATTCTCAAATTCTTTCAAAAGTTTAAAACAAAAATGAAAAATTATTGGCAACGTTTTGTTTTCCTTCAGAAACTTCATCTTCCTCCAGAGTTATCAGACACAGCAAGTCGACCACAGGAAGATGCGGTGCCCAATCTACGCCCTGGTGTACTTTCATGTGGTACTGTTGGATCAAAGAGCAAACTTGACTTTTGATTTATGAACATTTTGCTTTTTAAATGGGTGTTATCTCCAAACTCCAAATCATTTTTTCTGTTTCCAGAGTTGTCTTTCCTTACACACACTTCCACCTTAAGTTGTCTACAGCTAAAACTCTGTTTAATCATATTTATGACAGAACTAAATTTGACTTATTTAGGTGATTTTTTCACCTGTGGTAGTTTCAATATGGTAATAAAAATCAATTCTCCTGTTGAAATATTTCTGCAGAACTTAAGGTTTTACAAAACAAATTTTTAGCTCACCTGGCCCGAAGGGCCAAGTGAGCTTATCCCATGGTGCAGCGTCCGTCGTCTGGCGTCCGTCAACCTTTTCCTTTAAAATGCTACTTGTCCTGAATGGCTCAGAGGATTTTGACCAAATTTGGTCAGGAGCATCATTGGCCAAAGGGTTCTCAGTTTTGTATAAACGGAGGGTCTAACCCCCCTGGGGGCAGAGGGGCGGGGCCAAATAGGAGGAAAATAGGTAAATCTTTAAAAATCTTCTTCTTCTCAACCAATAGAAGGATTTTGACCAAATTTGTCCTAGAGCATCTTTGGACAAAGGAGACTCAAGTTTGTATAAACGGAGGGTGTGGCCTCTTTGGGGGCAGAGGGGCGGGGCCAAATAGGGGAAGTAGAGGATTTTTTCTCTCCTACTATACAAGTGAAGGGATTTAAACCAAATGCAGTCTGAAGCTTGGTCAGGAGCATCATTGGCCAAAGGGTTCTCAGTTTTGTAT